AAACTCACTTGTGTCAAAATTTGAGGTTCCTAGGTTAAAAAGGGTCAAACAAGTTAAAATTCCAGATTGGTGCGCAAAGAAGTCCAGACTGTCTCATGCAGCCTAGATGTCTGAAATCTGAGCGAATGTCACCGGTGATTTTTCAAGGTCAATGACCCTGTTTGGCGTGTCGAAGGTCATGATGACCAAAATTGGACAAGACTGATTTTTTGTTTACATTTGAATAAGCGTCGAGGATTACGCTAGGTAGTGTGGTGTGTGTGTGTGTGGGGGGGGGGGGGGGGTTCTTGGGTGGTGTGCGTGCGCTGCGCCGCTGCTGGGCCGCCGCTGGATGTTTGTGTGCCGCCGGCCGCTATTGTCACGCCTCCACACAAGAGCGAACTTACACTGAGGAGCCCATTGGTCAGCATACGAGCCAGATGATGTTAGAGCACGACTCGGCACGTTGTGACTTCGGTACACCCTACATGAACGCACACTCATGTGAGCCACATAGCTAGGATGCAGTGGTTGAACGGGACATTGGCGGGATGGTAGGTCCGGTGAGGCACCATGAACGTCTGCCTCCCCGTATATGGCTGTGCGCCCTTAGCCACGATACTCCACCTCCGCCTTTTCAGCCGATGATGATCCCACGTAACCGGCGAATTACATTGGCGAGGACCCACTGAATAAAAACCATGGGAGCCCCCCTCGGCCTTATCTTACCCACGCAGACTCCACGCGTTCGGTGTCCCACCATACACACTCCGAGCATCCACATCCGCTGGCGCCTATGTCACCCCACTCACTCTTGGCTGGTACATGGATGGGACTCCTCTTCCCCCCACCCCCGCCTTTTATGCGGCGCCTTGGCATTCTAATTGGATGTCTGCGCGAGTCATTGTCAAACAAGATTTGAATTTGCTTGTCACATTGCAAACATTCAATAAAGCCACGTTTAAGCCCCATTTAGAAGATGCAATGTTGATTCATCAGCTCGGCACCGACGCAGCTGCTGAGCCGACATCAGGTGTCCGGAGCTGCACGGCGGCTCGTTCCCTCGCCTGACCTCCAGGGTGACGGCTCCCTGTTCGGACGACGCCTACCGCGGTCCGTCCACGGTGGGCGGCCCTTCATTCATTCGGCCACGCCCGCTACTCGCAGCTTTCCGTGACCGCGCCTTAGGCTGCGCCTCGTCCAGCACAAAGGAGCCGTCTCCGGCACTTCTGCGCCCTCGCCTCCCACCTGCCGGGGCGAGCTTCGCAAGGCACTGTGCCACAGCGTGTCCCTCAGAGGCCTGGAGGTGGACAGTGCGCCCGATGGGACGGTGGAGCCCCTCCGCACACGACGAGCGCCTGGCGTGACCTGCGTTCGCGGCTTACGGTCTCCTCCGCCGCTGCGCTCTGAAGACGCGGCCTGACCGGCCTGTCCGGCGACCCGGTTCCTTGTCGCCCTTCCCTATGAGCGTCGATGGCGGGATTTCTATCCGTCCCGAGCATCCTGCCATCAAGAGCTCATAAGGCCTGGTGTGCACCGCGTCGGAAGAGAACAGGCTGTGCCCTGTTCTCTCCCATGGTGTGACATACCAACGGACAGATCCAGCAGCCGGCGTGCATAATCCGGCATCGCACGCGGTGCCCACTGGTCCTTGGCCATACCATGACCTATGTCTCTTCATGCCGTCACGTCTGAGGTCAAGTGAGGGTCAACGAAACAAGTCAACCGTTTCTCAGTTCAAAAAAGAGCGGAACCGTGCTTTCGAGTCGCGTTCCCACAAGCGCATGTCTGCCTAAAAGCAGGACCGCGGTCGTCTGGCTACTCAACCCTGCCGTCGTCGAGCCGTGCTGTTCGGGTGCGTTCCGAGCCTTCAGTTATCATCCTCCATCATCCTTCAGTTACGTTCTCTTCGATCGATCTTCGGGGGAGGACGGCATGCTGCGAATCGGACGTGATGGACTGACTGACTAACAGGGGGACAGGGGGGACGGGGGGACTGACAGGGGGGCAGGGGGACAGGGGGACTGACAGGGGGCAGCGGGACAGGGGGACTGACAGCCCCCGGGGGTTGACCCCGTGGATCTCAAAGCAAATGCTCCGCTTAGACAAGGCAATCAGCAACAACAACGACAACAAACAGAACCAAAAAACGCGCGCACGAATGTCATGTTAAGTCAGTTGATAACTCGGGCCGGACAAGCGGCAAAGTGGAGGGAGAAGACAAAGCGCGCCGATCAAACCACTGCAGGTGCGCGGGACAGGGTTCGGCAAGGGTCCGGTCACTTGAGCAATCGGGAAAAGATTTAAGGGAACGACAATAGTCTAACCGCCCAGGTAGGCAACAGAATGACGCCACAGCAAAAGGAAAACCTTCATGGATATGCCGGCGTCGCCCGTTCGCCGCGCCTGGCCGCGGCGCAGGACAGACGAGGGCTATGACGAGCCAGTGCGCCTCCACGTGGTCGCCTCCAATATAAAAAACAAACAAGACAGCCTCGGAGCGTGCCTACGAGCGAGCCGTCGTGCCGAAGCGCTCTTCATGGGCCTTAAACACTATGCCCACCCACGCTGGGCGCGAGCGCCCTGTCACCGCCTAACCGAATGCCTTCCAGCCTTGCTTCCATGCTGAACAATCCGAAACGCAGACTGCCACCTGCATGAACAAAAATCACTAAGGCATAAGCGAACCCCGTGAGACGTCACGCCCCCCCCCCCCCCTGTTTGCCTAATCATGAGAGTACACCCGGGACACATTGCCCGGCCGGGTGGGTCGCATGGCCAGTGCCCCTCCCCCCCCCCCCCCCATTCCCTTCCCTTACTACACGAGAGTGAATAGGTGGCCGGGGCCCGCGCCCGCCCGGTGGGGCAGGCTCAGGGGACACGGGAATGCCAGCCGTCCATGGCCCGGTAAGGATTGAGACAACAGCCTGTGTACTCAGACGTGTCTGTTGTCGCCGGTGTCCCGTTGTCCGCGAGGCCATATTTCGCAGTCTGTTTACCACCACCACTTCTCCTCTGCGCTCCTCATTCCTCGGGACTCCCCAGAAGACTCCACTCTCCTCCAGCTCCTCCTCGGGACCCCCTCCAACGCCTCCTCGGGACCCCCTTCGACACTCCTCGTAGGCCTCCCGCACCATCCGAAATTTTCCGTGATTTTTTTTCGAACTAAGTCGGCCCGCCCTCGCTTTTGCGCAAGGACCAATACTTTTGCCACAGAGCCCCTGTGATGCCGGGCCAGCTCGTGTTGCTTCCACGGCACGGCCCCTAACATGCCCCTGGGCCAGATCTCGGGCGTGGCGTTGCCGGCGACGACGCAAGGTCTGCCTGCTCTCGTTTCGGGCGGGCCCTGCGCGCCTCGCTCTAGCCCCGTTCCCACGTGGCGAGGGGCTTCTGGTGTCAGCTGGGGTGACGGCGGCGTCGGCGCGCCGGGGTTCACGGGGAAGAGCGGCTCATGCCTTCATGTCAGACAGACATGCCTGCACGCATAATGCTTCGCTGGTGATCTGGCTTTTCGAGTCCATTCATCTTGATCGGCCGGCGGAGAACAGGCGTTCGCCTTTGGCGTGATAGTCCATTTGGGTAGAAGAGGCCACCGTCCTAGCTGTTCCGGAGGCAAAACGGCGGCTTACCCCGCCTGGCTAGACGACACAGACGCTGCTCTCCCCAGCAGGTCCGGTCAACGATGCGCGCCCATCGGCCGGAATGGTTCGGGCTGGTCTGCATTTAGCTCTCTGGCTTCGCTCGGCCTAATGGTCGCGTTCGGCTATATGGGGTGGAGGGAGGGGATTTCTGGCCATGGCCGGCTTGCTCGCCGTGCCCCACTCTCCGCTGGGAAAGCCCCAACGATCCTGGACGGGTAGCGCGCAAAGTGGGAAGTAGGAGATGGTATGCCTGCGATGCTCCTAAAAACATAACGTTGACCTGGGTTACTTTAGGTCAGTGACCTATTCTGACCTTTAAGAAGCTCATGAAAGATCCATAATACGGTTTCATTTATCAATAAATTCACGATGAGCACCAGGCACTTCTTCACACAGCAAGCTCTAGAGTTAAAAAAGTCCAGATTAGTTTTGAACGCAGTCTGACATTTAAACCTGACCCAAGGTCCACTGCATTCGTTGATTTAATTGACCCAGTGACAATATATTAACCAGTTGACCAATTGACCAGTTGAATATAGATATCTCCATCAGATGGCTCTCTGTATTTAAAAGCTTGGCACTCTCCTCTGCATTTAAAAGTGGATCACTTCGACTTCAATCACCTCTGTCTCCTAGACCTAACTCACCCGGACCTGGACGTAACTCAAAGAACTACGTAAGGACGAAACACATCTGACTGGACCGCGCGCGACTCATTGTAACAGGTCAAGTGCAAGGCCTTAGAATAATTTCGGTCAAGTACTAAGGTCAAAAAGGTCAAGTAAATGAGGTATAAGTCGCTGAAGTAAACAGCGAAATGCAAGAACTGTCTCCCATTTAAAAAATAATAATTGTGCTCATGTATATCTGGTGTTGAGTCCGTTCAATGCCTACCTTCAAACCATTTGATTGAGGGAGATCAGCCTCTTAGTAAGGTACGGAGGGTGGGGTTAAAGTTCTGTTCAACTACGCACCAAAATTTGATTATGTGAATAAGAAATCACAGAACACAAGACTTTGAGTTCTTGGCATTACGTTGCATCAGCAGCGGTGTTCAAACACGTCTGGAGCACACCGTGCGTAAGCCGCGATAACACCTCCACGTAGCCACAATCCGCAGACCAGGAGTGCAGCCAAGAGGGGGAGGGGAGGGGGTGGTCCCTCCCCTCCATAGGTCCGCGTTTTTCATCATGGATGCCTTCTGCAGGAAGTTAAGAACGGGCCTGACGAGCGCTAGCCGAGCTTCGACGCCCCCCCCCCCCCCCCCCCCCCCCTCCAATAGTATCCTGGTGGCGGGACTTGCCCCAGACGCTAGACACTGATAAGGCAGCAGGGTGCGAGGGCCGCTAAAGCCCCAGCTTCTATCCCATTCCCGGCGACGGTGGCGGCGCGGCTGGATAGCGGGAGAGAGCACTCAGGTAACGTGACAACTGCGGATGTGACGTCTGTTCGCTTGCTTGGCGATGACTGAGAACTAGCATATGCGTATACGACTGTACATCAGGCATTTGTGATATAATGATGACATGATAGCGCCACGTTTAACGGCATCAAGTTGTTCGCTAAGGCTGTGCACTTTCTTCTGCTGTCGTTGCAATCGTGAACACAATCTAGAAACACCATTACAAGCCATTACACCATTACAACACCACTCCATTTACATTCCATTACAACACCATTACAAGCCATTGACGAATGAGTAGCAGATGACCTAAGTGTGAGGACATGCAATGAGCGCATGTACTCCTATCAGGTGTGGGAAATGCAGCATGCGGCGGGCAAAGGGACGAGATAATCCTATGAGCACAAATAACACACTAGCAAGCATATTGGCACAACAACTTTGACGAAAATGAAAATCACGAATCGGAAGTGCAGCGACGATGAAACAGATGCTGTGCGCTTCTAACCTTTCAACGATTCGTTCAGGGCGCCATCATGTTGGACGTCCTTAAGCCGGTAACCTCACTGAAGCTGTCGACAAAGCCTCGCGGAGAAGGCGCTGTGTTCAAGCTACACTACCGCGCCACCTTCGTCTTCATCATGGGCTGCTGCATTCTGGTGACGGCCACACAGTACATCGGAGACCCGATCGAGTGTTTGCCCGACAAGGACTCGATCCCGCAGAAGGTCATCGACACCTACTGCTACATCACGTCCACCTACACACTGCCCAAGTACTACAACATGAAGGTTGGCGTAGAGGTGCCTCATTGGGGCCTGGGGCCTGAGATGGCCGAGGACGAGAAGGTCTACCACAACTACTACATCTGGGTGCCCTACATGCTGTTCATACAGGCCATCAGCTTTTACGTGCCGCATTGGATCTGGAAGGCGATCCAGACGGATAAGGTGTACACGATCCTGATGGGGCTGGACAATCGGTCGTTGGACGAGGCGGAGAAGAAGGACAAGGAAAATCTGCTCGTCAAGTACCTAGCACTGCACCTCCATACGCACAACGTATGGGCGGTTAAGTACATAGTATGCGAGATACTCAACTTTGTAAACGTGTTGGTGCAGATCAGCATCACCAACGCCTTCCTGGGCGGCGAGTTCACCAACTACGGTCCCAAGGTGGCGAGCTTCCTCTGGCAGGACCCCGAGGACCGCACGGACCCCATGTACGAGGTGAGAGGCAGGCAGCGCCGACTCCGTGTCGAACTGATCAGCCACCATTCACTTCCAAACCGACACAGTCCAAAGGCATACTCATTTTGGATATTGCTCCCCCAGCGGTTATTTGGATCGGGTCGTCAGAAACGTAAAGAACGTTCTCTCCCCTGAAGAGAGCTTTTACTCTATAAACCCCACCACCTTCTCCGATCTGATATCAGGCGCATGTTGCATCATGGTACACTGACTCGACAAGGCCATGTACTGGCGGCAGCCCGCTGCGGCACCCAGCAACTTTGCACCGGACCTCGGGTTCTCTCTGCCGCCCGCAGCCTGACCCCTGACGCCGCCCCTGCCGCCAGGTCTTCCCACGCGTTACCAAATGCAAGTTCTGGAAGTACGGTCCCTCAGGTACGGTCCAGAAGCACGACGCACTGTGCGTGTTGGCGCTCAACATCATCAACGAGAAAATCTACGTCATCCTGTGGTTCTGGCTCATCATTCTCTCGGTCATCAGCGCGTGAGTAGCCTGGTGCCTACTAGCTTAGCCCTCGTCCGCCTTGCCGGTTCCGCCACCTTTCGTAGGTGGTAGTGGGTAGAGCCGCCTGCCAGGTCTGTATCTTAATGACCTCCTTCAGGAAACAAAACCTAGAGCGTCCTAAATCCATACGCTAAGGTAAAAATCTGCGGCCCCGTCCCACCGACGCACTTGCCTCGGGGCGGCAGTTACACGGTTATAGATAACCAGAACATTATTCACTGAACATCCAAATACAAGTCTGCGCCATTGCCGTTCAAGAGCATCAGCATGACTGTGACAAACGTTGTGCTACTGGTAAACCTCTTCGCAATGCAGGAGGACAGGCATTTCGGCTCATTGGCCACAGCGGTACACTCATGCACAATGCTGGGAGTGACGTTGTTTGACGCCCGACTGTCGCAAACCAGTCGCGTGGCTTCATTTTCAGTCCGTTCTTCCGCGTTTAAAAACAAACTCACGATCGAAACTTTATTGAGAAGGCTACCGTTACGTCGAAAATTCTGAGGTATTTAGTGGTGCCCCTTCATTTCGTCATCCCTGGGTGCTATTCGTGGAACGAACACCACTCGTAACACGTTGATGTCGGCAGTTCAGCAGAAAGCCAATTCATCATTTCTTCTTATCCTTTGAAGCCTTTCGTCATGTGGAATGGAGGATACCGATAGTGTAGTGGTTAATCTGCGCCTTTGGGAAATCACAGGTGCGGGGTCCGACTTCTCGAAGCACCCGCCCTTGTTACAGGGGCGAGAAGCAGACGACGTCATATGACTCGAAAGCTGAGTGCGTCGGAAAGCCCCAGCGACATATGTCATATCGAAAGGGTTTTGTAAACGCGGCCGAAGGTCTGAAGTACATCACGGGCGGGACTTAATAATAGGGAATAGGAGCCTCTTTATACAATTGGCATTACACAGCCAGTCGGGAAATCTTGAGCCACGATGACGTCATAATGGAACGATGATGAGAAACCACGATGACTGCATAGTTCAAAAGTCAGCTCTCGGGGCTTGTCAAGAGAAAGCCAGACGTCATTTCCGCCCCGTGAAGCTCAGTCATATTGTGCGGATTGTCGCGTCTGACTCAATGCCTCGCTGTAACAAGAATTAGCAACCGAGCCTCTTGTCTACCTTTGCTTTGCTACCCCTCCCCATCCCGGATGTTTATCACGTTCCACGGAGTCTCGTTTGCAAGGCACCGTTTGGCTGCCAGTGTGAGCAAATGTGACGTCACGCTAGATTAGTTCTGCCACATTTGCTATTGGTCCAACGTCCGGCTTCCAGCTATGTCAACTCACATGCACCTCGTGCAGCCTTGAAAGACCGGTGTGCTGCAAATGGCACCCTTAGTTGCTAAGGTAGCTGGAAATTTGCGGTCGTTGAATGTCCATCATTGTTCTTCTTCCCCTCTGCGTCTCAAATAAGGACAAGTCTGCTGCGGCATACAATTACCACGCACGTCTTAATGGTAGCCCCGCTTGACGTTATTTCCTATTTCTTTGTTCCAAAATGTTTTCAAATATAACTTGAGGTAAAGAGAACGTGCTAATCGAAGCTTCTTGCGTGTGCCCTGAACCTACCTCAATCTGTGCCGGATGGATCGGCGGTAATTTGCATCCGCCCATTCAGCAAACAGGACCCCGGAAGGCTTTTGTGAGGTGCACGGTGACGTCATCCCTGTGGCTGCATTACTACCTTCTTTCAACTTTCAATCACTGTTTTACAGCACTCTTTCACCTGATGTTTTACTCAAGTCGCCCGGTACCAACAAAACTCTTGACCTGTTCCTTGAATGCTTAGTAGATCAGAACTACGTAAGTTGTTCTTCTGGTATGATTTTTATAAATGCATGTTGCCGAAATATCAACCCAACTATGTTTCCGTTCTCCTGGTTTTCTCCGAGGAAAAGGCTAATACCACTGTGTGATCAGAAGAAATCAGGATGGATTAGGGAAGCCGAAGGAAAAATGGGGGATCAGGATAAGAATCAGGACGCATCTCGAATGTTCAAAACGAGAGCTCACCGCACCTTACCTCACCTCACCGCTCCTTTGGCGAGCCAAAAGTGAGGAAGGCCCGTTTTCGATTTAAAAGCTTTCGTGGCTTTTTACAAGGTCAGCGATCTCCAGCCGTGCCACTTGTGCCTCGCACGCGGGACACTTGGGGCTTCTCAAGTCTAGGCTAACGTTCTCTCAGCGAATCTTCCGGTGTTGTGCCGTACTCGCGTGGAACTGTGTACCGACTGCGGTCATGAGATCCAGACCATCGGTCAATTTAAGAACTGTCTTAGGAGCACAGGGGTGTCACGTAGCTTCATAACTTGTGTGCTGGGCTGCTTATGCTGGTTTGGTATATAATCTAACACGTCCAATGTGTCACTAATGTCATTGGTGTAAAACTGGTGTATAAATATATCTATATTACTCCACCCTCTTCATTACCTCTCGTTGTCCGAATCCGTAATAGCCATATTATGGAAATATCAAACGCGATGCAAGCAGCTTCCGTGCCGGCAGCACTTGCGATCTCTGAAATGCAGTTTGTACTGCCCACCCTTTACAAGAGCTGGAATGCGATGACAGCTATTTCCCAATAGTAGCGTTACATGACCCAGTTTTCAGGAAAGCAGGTCGGGTCCTACGAATGCCCAGCCTTCCACTGAATGCAATTAGAACGCTCCTTCGGTAGGGTTATGGAGACGCATCTCCGTGTCTCCGCATCACGGAGACACGCGTCTCCTGCAATCTCACAAGGTCCTTACGAGCACTACGAATTCATTCATGTTACGCAAAGAGTACATGGAGGAAAATTGTTAGAAATAGGTCCAACGCAAAGTGCCTAGAAACACAACAAAACCACCTGATCTAGTCCCGCCAAACCTCATTGCAATGGAAAAAAGCAGAACTCCTTTGCATTTCAAAAGTAAATGACACGGCGTTAAGTACTGCTTAAATCTGAAGCATTATTTCCTGATGACATCACTGGTGTATGAAGATGCCGGTTCAGAAAAAGTGTTCATTTTGAATGTCCTCTGGTAGCGTGCCGAGTGATAAACTGAGCTATATATTGGTGTGTGTGTGTGTGTGTGTGTGTGTGTGTGTGTGTGTGTGTGTGTGTGTGTGTGTGTGTGTGTGTGTGTGTGTGTGTGGTGTGTGTGTGTGTGTGTGTGTGTGTGTGTGTGTGTGTGTGTGTGTGTGTGTTTGAGTTTGTGTGTGTGCTCGTCTGCTCTAGTTTTGTTCGCCTCCATTCCTCTCCTTGCAAATGCAATGAAGTGGTGGTTAAAAGTACTCGTTTGGCTCAGTTTGACGAAGACTAACGCCCATGACCTCTTTCTTCTTACCAACAAATTTTGCGTGAAGACTAAATAAATCGCGTGGCAAAGCAGTGCTAAAATGTTGTTGTACGAGCGAGTGCAGTCGACTCGTTTTCTTACCCTGATATACACACTCGTTTCAGTAGCGCAGTGGTTGGGCTACGGCGGCAGCTCGGTTGGGCGGCTTATTGATAAGCTTTCACTTGTCACAGACGCTTAGAGATCCAAGATGCTAGAAAAAGTATAGACACATGCGATCGATCCGTGTCGTTCTTACACTCCCTTGTTCGCCGATTGTTCCATCATTGTTCAGCGAAATCGACCTCGCAGAACGCGAGCCATCAGCCCCTTGCCACCTACCACGTCTTGACTAAAGTTTCTCAGATAGCGGAGATAAGCGCACAAAGGCGGAGCTGTCCTCGCTGCTGTCCGACTGCACTGGGAGGTACAGATATGGCTAGCGGAGACGGCAGGGCCGTCTGCCGCTTCTGAGCTTCCTCTCTGGGCTAGGGAACCTTGTTACATTTACTGTCCCCCGAGTTGACACGTGAAGCCTTGCGAGTCCGTCCATCAGGACTCTAGCACTTCACACTGCGCTGTACATGCGCTTCACCTCAAGGTGTCCTCTGGCCGCGGCAGTAGCAGTCACGTGACCTGATTCGACGGGCGTTCATCTATGGCTAGGCTATCTTATCCTGTTATCGGGCCCAACGGCCGACGCCGTGGTGAGAGCGAGAAGACGCCAGCGGCGTGGGTGGTCAACCGTTTCGCCAAAGTTAATCTTGCCGAGCGCGTGCGAAGGCTTATAAGGGGCATTTAGTAGAAGCAGCTTCGTGAATTAATACAAGGTGCACTATTGGGTGGAATGCGCCACTCGAATGCCCTCCTATTGCAGGGAAGTTTTATAAGCTGTGAAATCAATATAAACTGACTAATCAGTTTTCAAATCAATCAAATCACCCGATTTCCACTTGAAGGAATTGATAGTGTGTGTTGCAGGCCATCAATACTCAAAATCATCAAAACTTGATTCGTTTTGTCATTTTGATAGTTACTAGCGGGCACTCCACTTACACCATGTGACCGCTACGCGGAGCTAGGGTCGTCCTCTAAAGTACGTTTCCGCATCTAAGGTGCAACGTCTATAGTCCATCGCCGAACCTCGGCGTAAGGACTGCTTTTTAGTGTCTGGCGTCTTACCGCAAGTGCTCGCGGTTAGGTTGCAAGCACATACTGCATACCAGGGGTACTCGGTAGGCAGCACGGTAGGCAGAAGTTAAACTTTTGGCCCCATTCAGGTAGCCCTGACGGCTCGCTCACGTCGGGCTGTCTGCACCAGCGCACGTGGGCTTACAGCGGGCCTTTCCAGATTTCCTGGGTTCGGTGGCCAAGATAGTGTTTCGATGATCCAGAGTAAGACCCGAGTGCAGACTGCTGACCACTCTCTTTGTTCTCTCCTGGCTGACCTGTTTGTACCGGCTGCTGGCCATAGTGTCAACGCCATTACTTTTGACCATGCCCTGTGTTCCCCTGGCTGGCCTTGCGGTACCGGCAGCTGACCATAATGTCATCGCCATTTCTATTGACCACGCCCTGTGTTCCCCAGGCTGGTCCTGCTGTACCGGCTGCTGACCATAGTGTCACCGCCATGGCTATTGACCACGCCCTGTGTTCCCCAGTCTGGCCCTGCTGTACCGGCTGCTGACCATAGTGTCACCGCCATGGCTATTGACCACGCCCTGTGTTCCCCAGGCTGGCCCTGCTGTACCGAGTGCTGACCATGGTGTCGCCATCATTCCGCGCGCGGATCCTGCGCCAGCACGGCGGCACACTCCGACCGAGCCCACTGGACCCGAGCGCCCGCGACGCCGTCGACTCGCTAGTCCATCGCTGCCAGTACGGCGATTGGTAGGTTACCATGGCAACAGCCAGCGACTGTCCGGACGCCCGATCAGGGAGGGTTTGACGGATTATCATGGTGCCACACGGCTGGCATGCCTTGCTTCCCACGCAAACGGCTTCATGCAGTTCTAACCCTCCAAGCAGAGGATTCCTTATAACTTACTGAATGCAAGCTTTAATCCTCACCCTGATTCGCCTATTTTTTCATAGCCCGGACTGATAGGGGGAGGGGGCTGTGGATGCCACCCTCCGGCGTTTCTGAACTAATAAAGCTAGAACTGAGAAAAATACCAGTCGGATGGTCTCAACGAAGTCTTGCCATTGACACTAGCTTACATGTTTTTAAATCAGTAATTGACCCCATTATGGCAGGTAAAGGTCGAACTTTGCAGAAATCGCACTTTTCAGCTTTACAACATGACACAAAACCATGATCTGTACCAACACACAACATAAAGAGACATGCTCCTTGTTCGATTCTGAGTGTATACGGATGTTTTTTAAACACATATTCACGATGTATGGCGCCTTTCATGTAACAAAGCTAGCCTGCCGCGCGCGTTCCGCGGCTTCGTCTGTAGCCACCCAGGCCGCAGATCGCCATGCAATGTTCCTCGGGAACCGCCACTGCTCAGAAACCAGACAAACTAGTAACAGGCCTCTGGTGTCAAAACAGGCGCAATGGGTACCCCCTAGGCTACTGAAGATTTGGGCACGATTACAACACATGGCAGAGATATCCTAAAACCCCTCAGAGGACGGCATCATATCCTAAAACCCCTCAGAGGACGGCATCATATCCTAAAACCCCTCAGAGGACGGCATCATATCCTAAAACCCCTCAGAGGACGGCATCATATCCTAAAACCCCTCAGAGGACGGCATCATATCCTAAAACCCCTCAGAGGACGGCATCATATCCTAAAACCCCTCAGAGGACGGCATCATATCCTAAAACCCCTCAGAGGACGGCATCATATCAACCCTCAGAGGACGGCATCATATCCTAAAACCCCTCAGAGGACGGTATCATATCCTAAAACCCCTCAGAGGACGGTATCACCCCCTTTCAGGGCTAGGGTAAACATGATTTGCAGCCAAACAAAGGGAGCCGGGTAGAAAAGATCAGCTTGATTTGTATATTTAGATACATTGTACCTGTCAAAGCCTTTGTAGGGTATTAAGTTGCATTACCTTGCTGTCAGCCAAAAAGCCTAGGATAATGCCAGGATATAGGATTTCCTCTTATTGATAGCACTCAACAGTGAGTGTGGTAGACCAAAGTTCATGCATCATACATACTATGTTTCCGTCGTATTTTGATGCTATACGTCCTTAGTATCCACGTTGTGCAAAACAATCTTACCAAATAACGCACGACTGGAATGAATTAAGACACAATGCCACCGCACGTGATATGACTTATTTTTCATGGACACCAACTCAATCTATCGAGTGGAAATTTCTTTCAAGCCATCAACCTGCTTACAAGCTATGGCAACGATGTCATTAACATAGTAAGCCTAGAGGTATTCTGCATCTTGCACTAAATGGGTTAGGTCCTATTCCCAATTCAGGGTTTCGCTTTACCTAGCATACCTCAATTTATAGTTCATCACAAAATTTGAGCCACTTGGACCACATCCACAAAATTTCCAAAGCGTGAACACAAAATAGTCCTAAAATTGATATCCTTAGTTCACTTTTCAGGGCATTGTTTCAAGGGCATTCACTACCACTGACTGGTCAGAGAAGATGCACAAGATGGTTTAGGAGTCGAACCAAAACGCCAGGACCAGAGCGTTCAACACACATCTAGCACCTTTGGCGATATAGGGAACGGGCGACCGTGTATTCCAGCGTGGGTCGAAGCGTGCCTTCACAGCGACCGCTCAAGTCGTCTTGAGGCGCTAGTGCACTGTAAAGGCTAGCATTGCGGCGCCGGTCATATCGAATGGCCCGTTCCAGGGTAGGACAATCTCTTGCTTGTTCTTAGCTGAAAACCAGTGACATTCACCACACAAACGCAAACGCAACATTCCGTAACATTTTGCTGCTGCTACCTCCACGTCAGCAGCAAGGTATCGCCCTTTTTCGTTCTTCGTCCATCTCCTGGCTCATTCGAACGGGCTCTCCTGATGACGTGCCGCGCTCATTTGTATTCTGATCCTAAAGAGGTCAACATAAATACAAACTGCAGATAAACTTTATTTCATTTCCGGTGATACGTTGTTGCGACCTGGTGTGGCACGAACCGCAGACATAACACAATGTATCAGGACTGCGCCGGCATTATTTCGACATTGAAACCGCAGTCTGACAGCAGGCAGATGCTGTGCCACATCCAGTCTGACAAAAACATGATATTTATTGAGCGATGATGAAATCAAGACTGACTGGCACATTGTGGTTTAGCCTATGTAAGGCTTTCAAACCTGAGTTCCAGATCCTTCTTAAACATGAGAGTTTAGCAACTTCCAGACCGTTTTCGAATCGTCCTATCCCGTGCATTGCAGTCAACAATGAAGGCTAACAGGGCTAGGCGCGGCAAAATGTTTCCCGTCTCACCATGAAGCCGGACGTGATGCAAGAAAATCGATTGTCTTTTCGACACCGACGCTCATTCATGTCAAGCACATCACAAGACATGTCTCAATGAGCTGGCGGTTGACCTGCGTAATGATTCTTAGTTCCTCCGAACGGTGTACGGCGGTAAGGCGATGGAAGGAGCGGAGCAATTGCATACTTAGCCATTTTGTGTAACCAACGCAGTAAAGCCTAGGATGCATCGGGCAGTCCACTTGCCAACCTCTTCACAGCTTGCGGCCCGCGGGTCTTTCATTGCATCGCTTTCTGACGTCCCGCGTGGTACGCCAATCGCATGATCTCTACTGCAGGTGCCTCTGCACAGTTCCGTCAGGAGGACGCCAGAGAGCATGAGCCTGGGCCTGAGCCTGTGCGTGAGCATAAACACAAGCATGAACACGAGCATAAACACGAGCATGATCACGAGCATGATACGCGCGCAGCATGACCCGTGTGTGCTCCGGCAGGTATCTTCTGCACAGCCTTGGCAGGAGCATGAACAACCTCACGTTCCTGGACGTGCTGCGCGCTCTGGACCGCGAGCTGAACCGGTCGCACTCCTCTGACTACGACCTGAATGAGAAGAACCTGCTAAAGGGGAAGGATGTGACCAGTGTATAGTCGGTGGCGCAGACATTGTGAGCATCTGTTTTCAATGTACGGGCTACGAGTCGCACCTTTGCGAACCAAAGATCAACATTCTTGAAGACATGTGCTATGTGCGCATGGCGCATTACACTTCGCGACACCCCTGTGTTTACAATTTTGCAAGGCGTGGTTTTGTGAGGTCATTCGAAACTGAAATGAAATGTGGTTTGGTGAAGATGCAATACCTTCGCCTCAAGAAGAGTCGTCTGGCTGAACACTATGTCATAAACACGCCGGTGAGAATGTGCTAAAGAGACTTAAAGACGACGTATCTTTTATATAGCCTTAGCGTGGATAAGTCAGACCATCTTTTATTTTTGCTGTTGATATTCAGGGCATCGGTTCAGGGAAGATACGCAAATCATCAATAAAATGTCCAAGCTCTCGTGCACGTCGTTTTGAATAGCTTATACAAATCCAGAACAAAGTCAAATCAAGTCAGGATACGGGTCGAATCTGTAAGGCTCCATATCATACATTTTTTTTTTTGCAAGCAGAATGCAGAGAACATGTCGATGCCTGGCGGCAAGCACTTTGGAGTGTGAAGAGAGGGAGGCAGGGCCGCGAACAGCCGTTTACTGTCGTGGTGGCGAATAGTGATGAAGTTATGATCGACAGAGCACCACAATGCATGTAAAGAACAAAATGCCAGAGTCCTTAGCAGATTCCATTCCGCGTTTTTTGGACGCAAGCCAAATGCCAGGTAAAACCTCGGCAGATTTTCACAGCAGGGAATGGAATACTTTGATAGACTGGCGTTTATACATTTGGCTCCCGTCCGTATAAGCTGATACTGCCCTTGTACGCTTTTCTAAGTGCACCTAGCAAGCTGGCATTGTCGAAGTAGATAATCACAGATGCCAGAAAAGAAGACCATAGACACGGTAACCAATGATCGTTTCCAAAATAAACGCCCATTACAAGCCCCCATCCCCATCCCCACCCCATCTCTCGATTCGGCATAGCCACAGCCTTCAGTAATATTTACATCCGAGTGAGGGCGTATGAAGCAAACAAATTTAATTTAGGATATTTAACTTTACTGAAATCTGTATCAACGATGCTCACTTGTCATTTACACCTATGACTTTTAAGTACGAGGCGTAGTATGACGAGCAATATATATATATATATATATATATATATATATATATATATATATATATATATATATATATATATATATATATATATGCGTGCGTGCATGCGCGCGGTGTGTGTGTGTGTGTGTGTGTGTGTGTGTGTGTGTGTGTGTGTGTGTGTGTGTGTGTGTGTGTGTGTGTGTGTGTGTGTATGTGTGTGTGTGTGTGTGTGTTTGTGTGTGTGTGTGTGTGTGTGTGTGTGTGTGTGTGTGTGTGTGGTGTGTGTGTGTGTGTGTGTGTGTTGTGTGTGTGTGTGTGTGTGTGTGTGTGTGTGCGTGTGTGTGTGTGTGTGTGTGTGTTGTGTGTGTGTGTGTGTGTGTGTGTGTGTGTGTGTGTGTGTGTGTGTGTGTGTGTGTGTGTGTGTGTGTGTGTGTGTGTGTGTGTGTGTGTGTGTGTGTGTGTGTGTGTGTGTGGTGTGTGTGTGTGTGTGTATATTGTGTATGTGTGTGTGTGTATAATATTTCTCTTTACCCTCGTCACTGGTTCCCCTATGACTGGTGACTTTGCTAAGTTGTGGTAATAATACATGATCGAGGCCGATTCGAAAGTATATCCGCCGTATCTAACGCATCCATCAAGCATTGTTTAGTTAGCACACTTTCGAGACATTCTGCATCTCCGTCACACCTTGAAATTTGGGCATGCTTTGTGTGGCAGATGACATAATAAGACGAAATTTGGATCCAAATTGCTTAGCCTTGCTGAAATTAGACTCGTGCATGACATATGTCCAATGAGCACAGAATAATCTGCATCACATGTGTATCGCCACACGAAACAAACTGACTCTCATACGGACATCCGTGTCAAGGCAACACCCAAAATCAACTAAGCCTGGCGCTTTCACTCCTAGTTTTCTCCACAGCCAACGTTTCAGACGTGCGGTGTGAAGATCGTAGATAGTGTTCTCCTTCCATGTTTGACGAAAACAAAGCTTTTCACCCCCGCTGGCTTCGGAACAGGTTGTGCTGTTCGACAGCTATGTGGAAGTCTTGTAAACAAATTCCAGCATATCGGTCACGTTAACTGAGGGGCACAGCTCGGAACACAGCTGTTCATATAAGACGGCTTCATTGGGCACATAACGCCAACCATCATGAGAAGGTAGCTTACCTATAAATAAGATCAGCTTACCGTAATACATTTTTAAAAACCCTCTCATTCAGTCATTCCTAAACGTACGCTTTAAGCTCTCTTACCATGTTCATCCCTTATTATTGGCTGCTTTCTTCCTTCTATTTCTCGGGGCTGTTTAACGGCCTCTTGCGATTTTTAGTCATGAATTTGGACTCTGTTTCCTATATCATTCCCCATTTTCAGGACACGAACAGTCTCTCAATGTCCTTAGTGTATTCTCTCTCACACACCATTACAACTAAACTAGTCCTGAGCGCCGCATTCTGTAATATTGTTATGCGCTCTTACGCGGGCTGTTATGATGCCATGCACCCTTACGCGAGCATTTGTGTTTATGACATTGGATGCTTCGGAATCCCAATAACTAATAGCGACTAAGAAATACTCCATGCAGACGAAAGACGGTCTCATTATGGTTACAGACTCGTCACTATGGCGACGGGTCTATCACCAGTATAAAAAGGAAGTCCGACCATCCGACCACGATAGAGTGCTGCCCATCAGCGGGGCGGTGCAGAGTGCGCGATGGAGCTGTTCTGGATGAAGATTTGTGTTGGCGCGGTGCTCTCCGCGTATTTTGCTCTGCCGCTCTACACGGTAGTCAGAAATACGCAACTGCGAGATGAGCCAATGGCTATGCTGGCCGGGAATCTTGCCTTTAGTTCTGTTGTATATGGTATTGACCATATCATGATCGGGATTGTGGATTTGGCAGGGTTAACCTCGACGCTTTTCTGCCCGGTCTCAATGTACGGCGGGCTTGCGCTTTTTCTAGCCTTCAAGATCACCCAGGTATGCATGGCCGTGGACCAGTTTGTCGCCGTCGTCTACCCACTTCATTACTACCAGATCATGACGAAGCACCTGAAGAAGCTGATGGCGCTGCCGTGGGCCGTCTGCTCAGTTCAGTTTGTGATTGGCCTTATCGCCGAGTCATTTGACCTGGAAACGTACGCTGAGGCGGTCAAGAGAATGAATAACATCACCACTGCGTATGAAGGATGCCGCTGGGAGGCCGTTCTTTCGAATAGTCTCTCTGTATTTGCTGAGTGTGAGCTCATCATTTCTTCGCTAGTCACCATCAGCTTATTCCTGCACGCCGCGGTGATAGGTGGCAAAACTAAGGCCAGACTAATGAAGGAGGTTCTTCCGAGCATCAGCGCCAACCAAGAATACGGAAATTTCTTCACCAACTTTGCTCTCTTCAAGAAGGTCTGGTGGGGGCTTTCAGTCGCGGTGACGCTGGATATCATCGGTCCGCTTATCCGAATCACAGGACGCTGGTACCCGCTCCCATTATTTGCCGGCATCATACACCAGTTGCGTCTGATTGGGTTCCTAATGGAAGGCTGGGTCTACGGCATGGCCAACGTCAAAATGCGAGCCGCCTACAAGAAGATGTTCTGCGGGAATCGTGTTGGTATCACCAACACTAACGGAGAGTAGCGCCAGCAAATTGTGGAGGCCGGCAAGACCCCGCTGTCACTCAAGTATATGCTGACCAGTGAATGGAAAGCAGCGCTAGAAGCGTCATTAAGCCCTGGCATGGAGCGCTGACCCAACAACGGATTTGCGAACCTTAAAATAGCAGACACTGTTGCAACACGTAACAAAACAAAAACCGACATGAACATCAGTGACCAAGACACTTTTGTTGACGGCACCTACCTCTGACCATACTTTACATGTTCGGATCATAGGCTGCTGCTTCTCTGTTTCATGCATTTCGACTCTCGCCAGTTACTTCAGCTTTCAGCAAAGCTGCAAATGAACACTGCTGCGTGTCGCTACTGTCATGGCAACGTCGACTCAACAGTGAGTGACCGCTGCTTCTGTGAGCTGGATCTCTTTGGGACGGACTGCTTAGATGGACTTCCGACCGGAGGGCAGCAACGGACGCTAATCCTGTCCAGCTCCCCACTCTCCTGTCCAGACAAACACGACGGCGCGCGGGCGATGGCACAGAGGAGGGCACAACTGCGCGGCCCAACGTCATAAGGGCGACACCATCATCAGTGGCACCGTGAACCCCGGCGTGCCTGCTACCTTCCTTCAACTACTACCTTCTACCTACCTTCAACTACTACCAAGCTACCTTCAACCGACGAGATCGGCGCCAGTCATTATAAGCTGGGGGCCGCATTGTATGCCATTGGATATACTTTGGTGGGATTTATTCTGCATGTCGTGCTTGATGTCTGAGTGCAATAGACACTCCAGGTTGATGCGCGGAGAAGTCCATGACCATGTTTGCTGGGACCCCCGGAAACTGGCTCTCGTCTCTGTGCTGCAACCCAGCCAAAGCTGTCAGGGAAAAATTGTCTCAAACTGTTCGGCGCTGGAGGTGGGGGGCGGGGGGGGAGGCGTGGTTAAGCGTTTAAGTGTTACAAGGTGGCATTTTGTTTGTGGGACTCTTCAATGTTGGTTGTCCGGCCATGGTATTGTTTTACAAACGAAAGTAACAACAACAATCGTTTAAGTGTCTGTGACGATTATGGGTGACCTTTAGAATTCAATTCTGGAACTGTTGTAGTTTAGAATTCAATTCTGGAACTTGCTGTAAGGCAATACAATACCTAGATGAATTCGTGTTTGTCAATGGTATGTCAGGCTTCTTCTCAGATATTTTCTCGAACGATTCATGATCTACAGGCAAAAGACAGCTATCTCAAGTTACTGTTTGTCGCAAACAGCCATAGCGAAACAGCTGTATCACCGCTGAGTGTGTGCATGCCATGCATCATGTCAACAAAATACTGCGGTTCCCACATGAGAGTGGCCAGCATAGGCCAGATCGCGGAAAATAAGCAGCTGGAAAGATTTTCATGCTGGCCTCAGCATCCGGCGCGCCTTCTTCGTTTAGAACACGCAAGCTCTTACTAGCCTGAGAAATACA